AGTAAACAATGAACATTTCAACAAAGCAAGAACACCTGTTTTTAAGAATTGTGGTTACAATGGCTGCTCCATGAATAGGTGGAGTAAGATACATAGCCCTCACAACAAGCAACACTTGGCTCTCAACTTTCTTAGCCACATCTTCTGACTTGCATACCTTCATATATATTTGACCCACTATACACGTTATGAATGCTTTATAGTAATTACTCCATGTTTCATTATAATATGTAGTTGAGGATGAAAGAATCGAGGTTAGAAATGGAAATTTGTTGAAAACTCAAACGACGCATTTTGTTGAAGAAAAAATATTGAAACATAAATGGCAGATTTTCTTTCAGTAAACCTAAATGCAAATGCAGCAAAATAGTCGATGCCATAATAGTGAAGATGAAATTAAGAAGTTTGGTTCCTTACAATGGTAAGAGAGCCAACACGCTCACCATAAAGACCCATATTTTTGCCATAACTTAAAGCTATCAAACATTCATCTCCATCAGCAACAAACATACGAACCGCTTGTGCATCTGAGTCAATGTCGCCACTAGCAAAACCCTGAAAATTTTGAGGGAGAAAAAAGAGTCATGTTGCTTCTTTTTTTTTCTGTCAAAATAACTTTGTTAATCTCTCCAATTTCTTATTTTAATTATTGAAACTAAATCCCTAATACTAACGGATAAACCCTGTGTTTTTGTATGAATCCGTGTTAGTTTTTTTTCAAGTGACAATCGTGATACTTTTATGACAAAGCTACAAAACAAAGGATAATTAATGACTTACCTGATATGCATTATCAAAGAAGGGTAATAAACTTTTAGATCTCACTATTTTTCGAATCTTTTCCCATTGTTCGAATGTCGGGTCAACTCCTGTGGGGTTATGCGCACAAGCTTGTAATACAACTATAGCACCAGACGGTGCAGCGCCAAGATCCTCGAGCAGGCCTGTTTTGGTGCGGATAGGGGTCAATCAAACAGTAACCAAAATAGATAAAACAAAAACAAAAAAAAATAGATAAAATGTAACAATGGTGATAGATAGAGAGTTTGTGGAATTAATTATAAATTCAACCTTTGAAGTCGAGTCCACGGGTTTCCGGGTCATAGTAACGGTAATGTTCAACAGACAAACCCGCCATATTGAAAATATTGGGATGGTTCCCCCAAGTTGGGTTTGGAACAAAAATGACACGCTGAAAGCAATGAGAAACGCAATTATCAACAATGGGAACAACGGTAAAAGAAACTCTAGAATATTTGTCAAAAACAAAACAAAATAGTGAGAATTTTTTACCACAAATTCTAATGGCCATTAACAAATCCAAAAAAAAATAGTGAGAAATTTTACTTGTTGGTGGTGTTGTGCTAGAAACTCAGCTCCAACTCTCAAAGAACCAGTACCAGACAAACACTGGAATGTAACAACTCTGTTCTCTTTCACCGCAAGACTGCCCAAACAAAAGAAACTATATTTTTAGTAAAATGAAAAATAACACAAAGAGGTTTAGAAAATATCATACACCTAAAATTCAGCAGCTACAAAAGAAAATCTAATATACAAAAAAAAAATGCAGAAAATTGCAATGAATTTAGAGTGAATTTATTACCTATCATCTCCTAAGATGAGCTTGGTGCTTAATTTGCTAAAATCAGCAAGTCCATCAAGTGGAAGATATTCCTTGTTCCGGGACCTAAAAAAAATATCATAGGTTAATATAATCAACAAACGAAACAAAAAAAAAAAGAATTAGAAAACTACAAATTGCGATAATATATAAAACACAACTTCTAAAATACCATGGATGCCTACTAGATTCGAAAAATTGTTATAACTAAACAAAAACAATACCATGAATCTACAAAACACTCTGTAAATTTAATAAAGCTCTCAATTTTAAAAACCAATTAATTCTATTTTAACTAAATAAACCAATCAATATATTTTTTTCATATATTGTCGTAATTTACAAACGAAGAAATTGCTATTATAACAATCAAGATTTTACCAACAATTTTTCTTAAAAAAACTTACAAGTCATTTGCTAATTGTTGCTCCGCTCTTCTCACCACCTCGAGAACAAGAGGCTTTCCTTCCTTTATT